CTCTAGACAGGTGGAAAGCTGGGGAAACTCTAGCATCTTCAAGATACCATAGAGGTTGGAGGGAGGACTCTTAAAGAGGAGATTCCAGCTACACAAGAAATACCCATAGGGCTTACCTAATTTGATGATTCCTACCTCTGGAGATGGGAGTCATGACCCCCAAAATGAGGTATTTAAAGTAACAGAGACATGGGGCATCAGGGAAAAGGTGGTTGCTGAAGGAGGGTAAAGGTTGGCCGCATTAAACTGCCTTATACAAGTAGAAGGCACTGGCCAGAATGGCTCAAAGGCCATGGCAGCACCAAAGGACTAGGCTCTGCTGTACCAACCATATGACCAATTTCAACAAGAAAAACTGCCAGCTTGCAAGCTGAGAGTTCAGAACTTCACTCAGACAGTAGTGGGGGTATCCAAGGCAGATAAACTACCGAGGGACTATATAATGAAGAAGAAAGCTTCCTAGGAGCTCCGCCTCCAGGAGGCCCCAAACTGAACAGCCTTGAATACTATTGTTACAGGAAATAAGAGCTCTGGAGTGCCCTCTGCTGGGGTTAGGGAAGGGCTGCTCCTTCCTAAAGTTAGCACCAGGCCAGCACAAAGAGCTTGCTCGGCCTAGAGAATCAGGAGAACTGCCTAAGCCTTAGAAAACCAGTGGCTAAGGGGATGGTGGAGTGTGCCAGCATGTGCTTGTAGGAAAAGGAGTAAGCAGCAGCCTGGAGCTGTGAGAGGAACTTAGAAGGAGTTTGGAGACGGGGTGGATCCTTGGGAAACAGCCCTAATCACATGAGCAAGGTCCCATCCAAGTCTAAATGAACTTGTCCTGATGTCCCTTCTAGTGCTTTTCCACCACCTAAAATCACATGTGTGTGTGCAAACTCCTCTCATCAAAACCAAAAACCTGATTGCTTCTGCAAGTGCCCAACCTGCACTGTCGTCAATAATGACTGTCTACTCCTCCATTCTGGGTCCTTCCTTCCAAAAGCAGCACTTCAGTGATCCGTTCAAAAGATGAGCGGGGCCAAGCTGAGGAATGTGTGGGCCATACCACATGTCCCCTCACCCTCACACTCCAAAGACACATCAGCTCATACACACAGATACCAACGCGTAAGCATGAACACATGTCGCACACACACCATTCCCACAGACTCCTATTATACACACAGCTATACAGTGCCCACACATCTCTGCAGGACTGTAACCTTAGAATGCATTGATCTCAAGCTGTATACCGAAGCTGTTCCACTGGGATCAATGAAACCCACCTCCACCCACAGCTCATCTCTGTCCTCTCTAGAGTGCCACTCAGCAAAGGTGGTTTGGGGATGAGGCCATGAACACTAGCCACTTCATGAGGAGGCCCTCTTTGCTCTTAGGCTAGGGCCCTCTCTGCTTCCCTCATCCCAGCCATTAAGAAGCTGGGCCACCCCTCTCAACCAAGTGACTTCCTAGGTTACAGGATGGATATAGGTTGACACCTGTCAAATGAAAAACAGTTTATGAATTAAGCCTCCCTGTAGACAGACTAGGGAGAAAAGAGATTATGCTTTGGGTCAATGGAGGAGTACTTGAACCTAGAACACAGTCAGAGAAAGGGATAGGAGGGGAAGGAGTCAACCACTATATCATAGGAACTAGGAAACCTTTTTTCTAGCCTACTATTGCCATTTATACACAATACAACTTTGAACAAATTACTCCCTCGCTGAGCCTCAGTTTCCCCATCTGTAGAATGCTGCTGAGGCTCACCCATGCTTTAAAAGTACCAAGCATTATCTGTAGCCCAGTGACATGCTTGGGGAAAGACCCGGCACAAGAAGAAAGCTCATTATAATGGCAACTAACCCACATCCACCTATGCAATGCAGCATATTGTCTCCAAAAGTGTTTTTTAAACCCTTTTTGAATCTGTGCTTGGTATCTCAAAGGTTTAGGCCACATCTGGGGCTAGAATGGAAGCTTCTATTCTACAGGGCTATGTCATCTCCACAGAACTTTGCAGAAGGAGCAAAGCCCCCAAGACTTCCCATGGAGAGCCAGACTCAATAGGTCAGGGTGGACACCAAGAAATAAGATCTCCCAGAGCTCTTTGGGGACTATAGCCACCTGCTGAAGTAGCTGAGCAACACCACTCTTGAAGTCGGCCAGTCCACCTCTGTGTAAGCGCTTCTCCCCGCTCCCCACCACCACTTTTTCCCCAGTGACCTAGCTCCCCAAATCCCACCTTTCCTGACTCTTTCCAAAACACCCCTCCCTGGAACCCCGTCCTTTTCCCAATCTTCCCTTTTCTGCACTCACCAGCCCCTGGACCAAGGACAGAAAACAGCAACAGCAGCAATAGGGCTGGTGGCAGCTGGAGCCCAGACCTGAGTCGAGGCTGGGAGAGGGGCAGAGTATGAGAGAGGCGGGGGGCCAGTGGAAGAGACTTGGGCAAACACAGAGACGGGGGCAAAGGCTGAGCTACTGGGTTGCGTTGGACTGAGCACTGGGGCTCAAACAAGGGCAGAAGATGTGATGGGAGGAGCGGGTGTGATG